TAAAAATTAAATAGCTCAGAATGAATAGCCTTGCTTTTAGTTTTGGGTGTCACCTGTAAAGACTTGATGTTTTATTAAAAAGTATAAACCAATATTAAAATGAGAGAGCTGTCTATGGGAGAAAAGCAAGACATTTAGAAGCTGAGAAAAGATCCTTTTATTTCGCTCACTAGCGTAGACTGTTCAGTTCGATATTGCAAACATCTGAAGAAGGCCGGAGCGTACAACGGCCGAAATGTTATAATAAATATGTTGACAAAGATGAGGACAATAGTCCGAATAATGTAAATAGTGTACATTATACCTCATCTCAGAAATATAGACAGATACAGACATAGAAAAGGTCAGGCAAGGAAGATAACACCAGGTGATGACAGAAATATTGTGAGAGCTGTGAGGAAAAATCCCCAAACAGCATTCAGTGTCATCACCAACAACCACCACACTGCAGACGCGAAGGTTTCACAATCCGCCGGTAGAAGATGTCTTCGAGAGCAGAAATATAAAGGCCATACCATAAGATGCAAATCACTCATCAGCAGTACGGATTCGAATGCCAGAGTTGAATTTGCAAGTACGGAGATGAATGACAAAAGGAGGTTTTATGGATGGATGAGATCAAGATTAATATCTACGAAAATGATGGATAGGCCAAGGTATGGAGAAATAAAGGATCTATACGTTTTCAACTTCAAAATGATAATAATCAACTTCAAAAAGGATTTATTTTTAAGTAAAAAAATTAATCAACTCCAAAATGGATTAATCAACTTCAAAATGGATTAATCAACTTCAAAATGGAACAATCAACTTCAAAATGGATTAATCAACTTCAAATTGAGAAAATGTCAAAAACCTAAAAACAATCTCACTTCAAAATGAGAATAAACAACTTCAAATTGGAATAAACAACTTCAAATTTAGATATTTTTTTTGGTAAATTGAAATATTAGATGTAAATTAGTAATAATGGATTAATTCATCATAAAATTAAAAGAGGTTCTTTCAAAAAAGAGGATGTGAAAGAATGGACCAGGGATTTCATGAATTTATGAAAGGGGAGTTGTCTTAGTTATTGATAACGCTCCTTGCCATACTTCAATTGAAGAAGTTGTGGAGGAGGATGAATTTAGGCAACACTAAATTTTTAGACTTGCCCCCTATAGTCCGATGTTAAATCCCATTGAAAAGTTTTGGTCAGTCATTAAAGCTGACGTAAAAAGAAGTATGGCAAACTCAATTGTTGGGATTTTAAGAGGTGATGGCCAGGGATCTTTAACTACTAAAGAATTCTGCCTCAGCAAGTTAGAAGGGATGATCTCCGAGACAATTAATAATATTTCCCCTGAGACTTGCACTAACTTCGTATCTGGAATACAGAGATTACTTCCCTCTGTAATTAACTTAGATGATGTAATCTTTTAAATAAATTTCTTAGGAACGTTTATATTTTTTTATATCCATTTTAAGTAAAAAAAAGAATAAATATTGAATTTATTAGTATTATATTAATTCTCAATTTGAAGTTGATTAATCTAATTTGAAGTTGATTATTTCTCATTTTGAAGTTGTTTTCCAATTTGAAGTTGATTAATCCATTTTGAAGTTGATTGATCCATTTTGAAGTTGATTAATCCATTTTGAAGTTGATTAATCCATTTTGGAGTTGATTAATTTTTTTTTACCTGAAAATAAGTCCATTTTGAAGTAGATTATTATCATTTTGAAGTTGAAAAGTTATAGTTATGATCCAAAGCATACAAGCACATCTGTGAAGCAGGGTGGAGGCAATGTCTTGGTTTGGGCTTTCATGGTTGCTTCTAGAAACAGTCTCATCCATATTTATTGATGAGGTAACTCATGATGGTATCAGCAGAAAGAATTCAGATGACTACAGAAACATATTATCAGCCAATTTAGAGAGACATGCATTCAAACTAATTGGGGGGCAAATGATCATGCAACAGAACAATGGCACAAAACACTGAAAACAATAATGGACCTCATCAGTGGAAAAAGTGGTCCACTTTAGGCTGGCCAAGTTAATCAATTAACGTCAATCGGATAGAGCAAGAATTACATACACTGAAGAGAATGAAAGAAGAAACCACCCGAAACAAACAAGAACAAGAGGCTGTGTTAAATATCTGGGACAAACATCACAAATGAAGAATGCAACAGTTTAGTGACGTCAGTAAGTCGTAGTTATTGCAAGCAAGGGTTATGAAACCAAATATTAAATGTTATTTATTTTCAGACTATCTGTTCTTTTACTTTTGCTCACCTAAATATAGAATGTACTAAGCTGTTTAACACATCAAAAACATCAGGAAATAAAAACTGAAATTCTGAACAGTTGTCTCATATTCATCTTTTGATCTTAATCCCAAATGTCTGCAGTGAACAACAAAAACAAAGGAATTGGCCTTGCCGTCCCAATACTTTTGAAGGGAACTGTATATATATATATATATATATATATATATATATATATATATAT